AAAGATTGCAGTCCTGCAGCATTGTGTGCTTGTTAAAATACTACAAATCTTGAAAGTATTTTAAATCTGTTTTAAATCTACAGAGATATTAAGCTATTGATTTCTGTAATATGCTTTTTGCTTAAAGAAAAAATATATACTATATATCAGATTTGAGACAAAATTAAAAAGTTTGCTAAAAGAATTTTGTCTTTAAACAAAAGGTTTTTGCTTGTGAGCTTTTTGAAGAAGCTTTTAAGTTTATTAATTGTAAAAGGCCAAAGGTTTTTTTAAAAAATTATTAAGATAAACTTCATAATCTAGAATAGTAATAGCTTCTTATTCTGATATTGTTTTAAAGTTTTCTTTATCTACTAATTTGAGACTTTAAGCTGCATTTAAGAGTAAAATTAGTTTAAATTTGTCTTGGTTAATTTTTGTATTTGAGGCTTTTTTATATAAAGCAAAGCTTTTTTTGATAATATTCTAGTCTGTTTTGAAACCAATTTCTAGTATAAGATTATTTGCATAAGCTAAAGCTTTAAAGGCTATGTCTTTTAACTAAATTTTTGTGAGTTCTCTGTTCAGTTTTTGTAACAGAAATTCAAAAGCCAATATGTATAAGAGAGGTAAAAGAAAATAGCCTTATTACACACTTTTTTCAACTCTGAAAAGAGCAGATATCTTGCTTGTAGCTATAATATATATCTTTTGATTAGTGAATAAGGTTCTAATTAGCTTTATGAATTTGAAATAAAAGTTCATTTTTTTTAGTACTTCTGAGAGATAGTTGTAGTTGACATGATTGAATGTTTTTTGCTAGTTTACTAAAAGCAGTAAATTTTGCTTAGTATTGTTTTGCTGGTTTTTTATAACTGTTAATATATCTAGTACTATATCTGTTATAGCTTTGCTTTTTATAAAGCCTTGCTAATAGTCTGAAACCAAGTTTTTACATATTTCATTAAGCCTATTAGTTAAGATTTTTATAAAAATTTTAGCATTACAGTTTACTAGAGAAATTGGTTTTTAGTTGTTAATATTATTTAACTTTGAAGATTTTTTAAGTATTAAGATAATTAGGCTTTCTGTTCATAAAATAGGCATGTTGCTAGTAGATAACATATTATTAAAGACTTTTTGTAAGATAGAAGTAATGATTTTCTCAAAACATTTATAAAAATTATAAGTAAAACTATTAGTTCTTAAGAATTTGTTGTTTGAAAGCTTCTTAAACATTTTTGTAATCTTTTCTTTTAAAAAAGTTTTAGTAAATGAAATATTTTGTTGATTTGAGACCTGTTTGATGTTTTTTGTAATTTTATTAATGTTTTCAAAATTCACTTATTTTTGGCTGTAAATTTTGACATATTGATCTTTAATGTATTATAAAATATTATTTTTATTTTGTGTTAATGCATTATGAATCTTTATTTTAGACAATGCTGCATATGCTTTTTTTACTTTGTATCTAACAAAAAAATATTTGAATAATCTTTCTTTTTGCTCAATCCATTTTGCTTTTGAGCATATTTGCTATTGTTTTGTCATGTTAGTAAGTTCTTTCTGTAGTTAATAAATTAAATCATTTGCTTGCACTTGCAAACTGTTGTTAGATAGGTTGTTAACTAGTTTCTTATTAAGATCTATGATTTTTCTATTAAGCTTTATAATATTGTTTTCAGTCACCTTATGCTTTTTGTAAGCTTTAATAATTAATTGTAACTAAATCTTAGTAAAATTTTAATTGCTGCTGTTTACTGCTTTTTGTAGCTCTTTTTTTAGATCTTTTTTAAAAAAAGTATTTGTAAGAGATATTTTATCAAATTTTCAGATTGTTGGTTTACTTGAGGTTTGTTGAAAGTTAAAGACACATTTTACTAATTTGTAATCTGAGTTACTATATAAGGTGTTTGGCTTTGTAGTCAAGTGTAAGTGATCTTTATCAATAAAGATATAGTTAAGATAAGAGGCCATAGTTCTATTTTTTTGAGTTCTTTAAAAGAAAGTAAGAAGAAGTAATTTTTTAAAACTAAAGAGATATCTATAAAGTTCTTAAGATTTTCTAAAAGCAAAGTTCTTAAAAGGTCTTTTTGGACTACTGAAGCACTGATTCAGTCTCTGTCTAGGTAAATATTTGTATTGAAGTCTTCTCTAATTATATTTATTGTCTCTGAGTTTATTGTTAGAGTCTAGTGATTAAAAAAAAAAATTTTATCTGATTGATTAGATAGTGCAAATATATTCATAATTTTGAAGGTATGGTTTCTGTATAATATAGTTGTTATGATAATTTTTTCTTTTATTCAATTTTGTTGTTTTTAAGTAAAATGTTTTTATTTCTTGCTAAAATTGCTGCTTTACTTGACCAAATTAAGTTAAAAGACTATTGTTGTTACAAAAATTCTTTAGTATCTTTGTTGTTAAGGTTTGTTTCTTACAGAAGAATAATATTTAATTTATAGAATTTTAATAATATTAAAGTATTTCTTTTTTTTTGTTTATTATTGAGCTTTTTGATATTTAGAATTGCTGTTGTTAGTTTTAATTTAGTTAATGTTTAAATAGAGAAGGAGTTTGTGTGTTTTCAAAGATCTTGTTTTTATTTGGGATTTTAGTTTTTAAATAGAGGTTTTCTTTTTTTTGCTTTTTGTAAAAGCTTTTTTAACTTTTTTTTACTTATTAGTAACTAATCAGTGTTGGACTAATCATATCAATTTGACCATTTGACCAGACCAGTTTGACTAATAACCAGTCTGGTTAAGCATTTTTAATATTGATCAAGTTGGTTAAGTGGTCTAGTTATAAAAAAAAATTGTTCAATTAGACCAAATAAATATTATTAAATTTGCTTTATTGTTATATTGCTAGACTATTTAACCAATTTGATCAGAAACCTTTCGACTAATAACTAGTAAATTTATAGTCAACTACTAATTTGACCAAATATAAATTCTGGTTTATTTTTTTTAAGATTGAGAAAAGAGATAGTTTGGCATATTGCTAATTGACTTTTAGCTTGTTGTTGCTGATTAGATATAATTAGGTTTTTTATATTTATATTTGGCTGAACTTCTTGTTAGTTTAAGGGTTCTTTGTTAACTATCTCTAAATCAGGTTAATCACTTATTAAAGTAAAGAATTTTTTGTTAAATTGTAAAATAGTAACTGCAATGACTTCATATTCTTAAGTGACTAGATTCTTTTTTTAGTAAGTTATCTTATTTGGTAATTTGTTTTGTATGTTAAAAGTTTCTAAACTATTATGTAAGAGTTTTATTACTCTTTTGGTTTTGTTTTCTTGATATTTCTTATATTATTGTCTGAGTTTAATTGCCTTTTTGAATTGCTTAGTCTTTTTTTAAATGTTTTTTTTTGTTACAAAAGAAGCAAACCTTATAAGCTAACTTTTATTTAGTTGTGACTTTGTTATTTTATAAAAAAATAAAGCATGAAATTCTGATTTTAAATTCTGAATTATTAGTTGTTTTAAAGATTATAACTTATTAGTTAGTTGCATAAGAAGTATCCTCAATAAGAAGTAATTTAATAGCTGTAACTTTTTCAGAACTTTCAAAAGTCTTCAAAATTGTCTTGAAAACTTATTTTTTGTTGTTAAGTAGTACATTCTTGATTTTAACAGAGAGGAAAGATTTTCTATTACCTATAGAAATGAATCTATAGTAGGTTTAATTAAAGATTACTATGCCCTTGCTGGCATAATATTTAAGCTGTTTATTACTGATAAATGCTAGTTTTAAATAAGTTCAGCATTTTTAATAAAGTGTTGTTTTGCAATAACTACATTTTGTCCTACATGTTTATATAGAGAAATCATAATCTTGTTAAAAAAGTAATTCAAGCTTCTGATATTAAAAATCCAAGTATTGTTATTTTTTAACTTAATAGAATTTCTACCATATATTACTAAATAAAAGTAACCAAAAAATTTTTAATTTTTGTGAATTAAATTGATAAGGTTGCTTTTATTTAGGTATAAAGACAAATTGCACTTTTAGTTACATGATTTAACACTGTTAATTAAATCTTAAATCAGATATAGCTTTAATTGTTGTTAATTATGCATAAAAAATTTTTAATATAGTTAAAAAAAAAAACCTATTATTATATTTCAAATATTCTTATAATTATTACTTATAATCTTTATTTTTTGGAAATTAACTTTTTAATAAATTTTCAAATATGAGGATAAAGACTGGTGCAAAATTATTGTATTAAATATTATGAAGTGAACTATTATTATTAAAATTTGTATATAAATATTTATATATATGAAGGTTAATAAGGCCTATACTAATACTAAAACATTTACTGTAGAGAAAAAAATTGGATATTTGTTATTATATTCTAAGATACAGCAAAGACTATTAATGTTATATGTATATTAAAACTAATAAGAGATTATATTTATTACAATTGAATCCAATATAAATAATTTAATTCATGACTGATTACAAACAAGAGAGATTTACTTTAAATTAGGCACTATTATTGTTATAATTCTGAAATAGAAAATGCTTGTGAAATTTTAGGTTTTTTTAGTATATTTAGAAGGTAAAAGCATGTTAGTAGGTATATAATAAAAGAATGAAAGACTTTTAAATATATATTTGTCTTATTTAAAGCAAGTTCTTCTTATGTCATTTCAAACAAAAAAAAAAAATTCTTATTATTTTTTTTTAAAAATGACAAAAGAAACTATAAAAAAGAAAGTTCATCAGTCCTATACTATTTAAGAAAAAATAATTGTTATTCAATATGCTCTTCATGAAAGCAATATTAAGGCTGCTTCAAATTTTGGTTTGGACAAGTCTCAAGTTGGTTATTAGGTAATGAAACTAAAGAACCAATTAAGTAAACTTGGTCACAAAAAGTCCTATTATCTTGGTGATAGTAATAGAAAAGAGTTTTTTTCTGAAAAAGAAGCTTAGCTTTATACCTAGATAGTTGAAATGCATAATGCAACACTTGCTATAACCTATAATAGTCTTAAGTTAAAGATGTTAAGAATTGTTTCTAAAACTGCTTTAAAAAGTCATGAACTTGTAAAAAGACAGCTTGCAAGTAGTTTTAAGGCTTCCTCTATATAGTTAATATGTTTTTAAAATGCCATAAACTTACCTTATGCTGAAAAACAAAAATAGTACAAAAAATATTAGCAGATCTTAAAGAAAAGTTGCTTAACTTTCAACAGCATGTAATTTATTTGCACTGTATAAAGAATTACCTTTTAAACAATATTGCAAACATGAACAAAACCCTTGTCTAGTTTGACATAGCTGATGATCTTATGATCGAAGAAATCAGTGCCAAAACAGTGCATATTCACACAACTGAAAATGAAAATAATCACTTTACAGTAGTTTTAACATGCTTTACTAATAGTCAAAAGCTTTCCTTCATGATTATATTTAAAAGTCAAAGATGGCCTAAAACTAAGTCTTTACCTCTTCTTGGTGTAATTGTTTTCTTTTATAAGAAAGATTGGATGAATAACAGAGTATGTTGATCTAAGTTGATAATTATAGTAGAGACTAACCAGGTGATTAGAAAAATGAGCCTTCTCTTCTTGTATTTGATTTATTTAGAGAACATCTTACTAATATTATTAAGACAAAAGTTAAAAAAAATAATAATGATCTTGTTATTATTCCTGGTGGTTTAACCTCTATGTGCTAACCATTTGATGTTTTTATTAATTATTCTTTCAAAGTAGCACTTCATTATCACTGGCATGCATAAATAGTAAGTGGTAGTTCTGAAAAAACCAAGAAAGAAAACTTAAAACATGCAGTTCTATATACTGTATATAAATAGGTACTTGCATCATAGGCAGAAATTAGTTCTAAGATTATTCAACATGTCTTTTGCAAGTGTTTTATTTCTAATGTCATGAATGGTTCAAAAGATAATGAAATATATTATGATAAAATCTTTGATAATAGAACTCACTAAACTTCTGATAAAATTTGCTATAATAAAATTTACTCTAATGAAATTTGCTGTAATGAAGTTTCAAATGAAAATATTATCATTATTGATTCTAGTGAAGATGAAGATGTTAATACTAATCAGGATATTTTTGTTAAAAATGACAAAAAAGTTCTTATTTTTGCACCAAATCAATAGAAATGTATTGTTAAAAGTTTTTTTAATAATTTAATAAAACTTAGATATAAGTTAGTAATGATTAAATATAAATTTTCACTCTAATATTTTTTTAAATATTTGTTTTTTATACTACTAGTTTTTTTTTTTAAATGATTTAAATAAAAAAAAACTCAACCAAATTCCTGAAGATATTTATAAAGAATCCATTAAATTTTGACAGAAATGTAACAATTTTTGATCTAAGCATTATAGTAATAATTGGCAAAATTAATATGTTAGAAAAAGTATATAGTCTTACACTTTAGTTTAAGATTGCCTAAAAAGAAAGACCAGGATTATTTGTAGTTATACTCTATGTCATTCTGAAAGTTTATTGGATTCAAATTTTATATGCTAATACTTGATTGATTAGTTATTGTTTTGTCTCTTATTTTGTTAAACTAAATTACTATAAAGAACACATATAGGTTTTGCTTTTTCACTATCAAGCAATCTACATAGTATATCTAGAATTATGCAAAAATGCACTTTCTCTATTTATTTTATTTTATTCATTGATATTATGACTGTTATTCTAACAGATCATTTAAATTTTATATAACTGTCATCTTAACAGGTCACATTTATAGCTTTCATTATACAAGTATTTTAGATCTTTCTATTCTTTTCTATTTATGACTGCTGTCCTGGCAGGTTATACAAATTAGTATTACTCTAATGCAGTTAGAGATCAATATAACCAGAACAAAAGTCAAATTTGCCTATGTTTACTAATATACTATAATTAATTATTATCTTATACTTACCTAATTACCTTATATTCATACTAAAGAATATTGACTTATACTTTTGTTTAACCTAATGATCAATTGAATATATAACTGTAACCAGGCTTGTTACATGTTCAATCATTGACTAATTTAACAAAAAATGCCTCAATATATATATATCAAGTAATTTTGTACTTGCATCATTAATAGCATATAAAATAAATAAACATTGTATATATACAAACATATATGTATAATTATCATATGATTTTATTAATTTTATATATCCTATATAACAGTATTTAAAAACTAGAGTTGCTTATATTTGATAATTAATGTTTTTTTGTTTTTTATTATTTTTGGTATTTAAAACCAGAGAGATTGCTTTTATTCAGAGGTTGCTTCTAATCAGTAATATACAGTAAGTGATAAAGCAAAATATATAGATTACCTTCTTTTTAGTTTTGCAAAAAGACTAGACTATTGTTTTTTGTCTTCTTGTAATATGTCTGTATTAGCATGTGTTTTAGCATATAGGTTGGCATATGATTTGTTGTATATTTTAGCTTATGCTTTAATATATATTTTAGCATTTGCTATATGACTTTCTTATTTATTATTATATAATGTTTCATGTATATATGTCTTTGTTGTTGTCAGTTCTCTGCTTGCAGCATTATCTTTTTCAGTTGTTTTAACTTTTAGGCTTTTACTGCTGTTTTCTTTGTGATATTACTTTTATGCTTTGTTGCTAAAGTAGCATTTCTGTTTAGTTCTTGCTCTACTTGTTCATTCTAGTTTGTATTGTTGTTTAAAAGAAAGCTTATCTCATATTCCATAGTTTGCTTGTTTAAAAAAAAGTTTGTTTTGAGTAAAACTTTTGTGTTTTTGAAGATTAAGTAGTATAAGTTTAAATTTTTTAGAAACAGGGGCCTTTGTCCTAGTTCTATTAAAAAATAAAGAGTCTTTGTTTTCTTTGTTAGTTTTTATTTTGTTAATATTAAAAATCTTATTCAAATCAATAGTAAACAGAAAAGAGTTTTTTAAATTTTACAACTGTGCTTTATTTAATAAAGGCAATACTAGTAAATTTTAAAGGTTAATTTTTTTTTTATTATTTTTTAGATTATAAACTAATATAAGCAAATTTGCTTATATTTTTGCATTTTTTTGACCTTAATTTAATTTAATTTATTTATTTATTTATTTATTTATTTTTTTGTATTAAAGGCTATACTTTGTGGCAAAACTTTTTGACTTTTTATTAGTTTAGTTATTACAACTATTTTATACAGAGATAAGAATACAACTAGTTATATATACAAGATTCTATACTAAATTTTATATCTATAATCTATTAGAAGATTATTTATTTAAACCCTTTGATTATCTGTTCTGTTATAATGTAATATTAACTAACTCTTATATATACCTAACTGATATACTGTTTGAGCAGTATAGTATTTACACTTTTTGTACTAGTTCCTATACTATTACACATTTCAGAATACAACATTACTAGTAAGATACAAGAGGCTCTTCTTGTTAACTATCTATTTACTCTATAGAATATTAACAAAAGCTACCATTACAGAGTTCATTTAGACCCTAGCACTGACTTTATAGCATATTTCTAATACTTTTAATATACTCTTGCTTTTGTTCTCAGACTGTCAATTCAAATAGCTTAGAAGAACTGTAACCTTTTCTTGATATATTAAGATCAGCCTTATATTCTTTTCTCTGGTTTATGTTTTGTATTATGAATTTTTGTAATTTTCAAAAAATCAAGTTCAAACAGAGTAATTATAAATTTAAGAAACTTGAACAAATTCATACATTTTATTTATTTCAAAATAGATACTATAGAATATATAAAATCAATTATAAAAAAAAATAATTATTTTACATTTATCAATATTATAGATGCTTTTTTATATGTTTTATTATCTTGGCAAGCATAATCATATTTTAGATTTAACTTTGCACAATATAGATACTAATTTATATGCTTACTTTTTGAATTAACTAGCAGTTTAAGAGTATTCATCAAGGTACTTAAGCCAGTAATTACATTAGTAAAATCAATAAATATAAGGTTAATAGTATATATTGATAATATTATAATTTGTTTAATAACTAAAAAAAAAGTAAAATTACAACTCTTTCTGATAATCACTTGAACCAAACTTTCCAAAAAGCTGAACTACAGTAAAAAAATAATATAGTTAATATATTAAACTTTATGAAAACCTTTCTGGAGTACTGTATACACATTGTTGAACATTGAAATAAAGTTAAAAAAGAGTTGCAGCCTTGTGGTAACAGTTTAAAAGGCACTTTGAGACTATAAAAGAAGTAGTTGGTAAAAGTCAAGATTTCTTATTAAGTAAACAACAAAGTTGGATATATTAGTTTTATATAAGTATAAAACCTACAAGGAATACCCACAAGAGTTCAGAACTTACAAAAGCTAAAAGTTGGTTCACCTAGTACTTTTACATTTTTTTGAGAAAAATTTTGTAAAAGTAAATGATTCAGTTTACTTTCTCCTAAAGATCAATATATAAAATTACCAAAACAATCAGCAGTGTTTACTTCCTAAATAGGGTTGTTAATTATATGAATCAGAAACAATACAGTGATACAAACATGACTATACACATGCCTCAAGCTGCTGAAAACCTATCAAACACTGCATCTAGACTAATCAGTATCCTATATTGACTCTCTATAATAAAGTTAAAATTTTTTTTTCTTTTTGGTTTTTTGTTTAAATAATTTAAGTAAATAAAAAAATAGTAAAATAATTTCTATTTAGTATAGTTTATAATTTTTATAAGCCTGACACAGACTTATAATTGTAGTTGTCTGATATCTGTAAATTACAAGTTTCATATCTGATACAGGCTTAAAATCATGATTACTGATTTTTTGTAAATTGAAAATTTCATATTTTTCTTTTTTTTTGTTTATTTCCTTTTCTTTTTTTATTTCTTGTTTTGTATCTTTTATCATTTATCTCTATATCTGTTTTTTTTTTTATATATAAAATCTTTTTTTTTATTTTTTTGTTTCTTTACAAGAAAATGTTATCAGATTAGTAGTATTCTATTGTAAAATGGCAGTCAGACAAGCAGCCTATCTTTGTTTAGAGTAGTGTAACAAGTCATACTTAGGTACCAATAAGGTGGCCAGATAATGCTGAACTTAGTTATTAGAAAAATTCTTTGTAATCTATATAGTTTCAAGAATTCTAATAAAGTACTAGCATGACTGCTTATGTTAAAAAAAATAATAATAATAAAAAAAAAAGTAAAACATTATATAAAGCAAGTAATATAAATACTAACTGAATTCAATTTTCTTATAAATAACAAGTGAGGGTGTGGCGACCTAGTGAAGTGGTCAGGTTGTCAACCCCCCAAGTGGTAGGTTGGGTGTTCAAATCCCATCGACG